ACTTCCTACCAATAAAAGAAAACGCCAAAATAGAAAAGCTAACCACGACCTATCTCAAGGAAATCATCAAATTGCACAAGGTATCGATTTCTATCAGCTCTGACAAAGATAGTAGATTCACCTCGCGGTTTAGCAATCATTGTAGAAATACTTGGGAACGCATCTGGATATGAGCACAACTTACCATCCTCAAATAGATGGTTATAGTGAAAGGACCATCCAAACATTGGAAGATATGCTCCAAGCTTATGTGATAGACTTCGGAAGTGCTTGGGATACTCATTTACCATTAACTGAGCTTTCCTACAACAATAGTTATCACACCAACATTAAAGCCGCATCGTTTAAGGCACTTTAGGGACGAACATGTCATTCCTCAATATGTTGGGCAGAGGTTGGAGATACACAACTGGCCAGGGAACACGAAAGAGATACAATGCTCGTTGGTCTAAAAATCATTCATTAGACTACAAAAAGATTGTGCATATCATGGAACGAATTAAGACTGCACGTGACCGTCAAATGAGTTATGTTGATGTGTTTAACACCCATAAAAATCATGTCAATTTAAAGCTTTTTAAAACATTTAAAACCAATAATTATTACAAATTTGTTTTCAAAATAGTTTCATGTCAGAGTATCCTAGAATCAAATCATAAAATATAAGGAGGTGCACGATCACGCCTTCGCCTTTCCGCGATCATCAGAAGTACCTGAAACAAAATCAACAACTGTAAGCTCGAAGCTTAGTGAGTTCCCCCAAAACACCAACGCCATACAAACCATATCAATATCATATAAATAAACAGCATGCATAATGAGTCATCAGCTTGACTGGACCGCCTCATCGGGCCATCAGTCTATCTGGACCGCTCTCCAAGCCATCGGTACGTCTGGAGCGCCTCTCAGGGCCTTCAGCCTATTCGGACCGCTCGTCGGGCCTTCGGCCTGACTAGTACACCCTATGCGGGTCTGCAGTCTATTCGGGCCGCCCTGGTATGTTGGCACAAAGCACAAAGCATGACCTCCTCAACCCAACCCCCAATCAAACAATCATGTGCACATAAATATCATACGCTAGCTAGCATGTATAGATAGTCGTACAGATCTAACATATCACTATTCATAGCATCATCCTATAACCAGGATACCGATCTAACAGATCAATAAAATAGCATAATCCTATAACCAGTATACTGATCTAACAGATCACTAACATAGCATAATCCTATAACCAGGATACAAATCGTAAAGGGTCGGCCTTGGTGCCTTAGACCCTGTTGATATAGTGAGAAGAACTCACCTCACAATGTTGATCGAAACTGAAATATGAAATTCCCAAATTACGGCTCCAAACACCAACACCTACAACCACCAATGATCCACTTCCATAAATACCCAAATTACCAAAGTACCCTCAGAAGTCAACTGGTCTACCCTTAGTCAAAGTCAAAGTCAACGGTCAAGGTCAACAGTCCATGTTGACCCACCTCGTCGAGTGTAACCCCCTGACTCGTCGAGTTCTTTCAGAACTCAAGAAGTCGTGAAAACCCCAGTCGACTCTTCAAGTTTCCAGACAACTCGTCGAGTCCATGCAGTGTCCAGAATGTCGGGAAAACCCTAACCAACTCATCGAGTCATCTCACTGACTCCCCGAGTCCATGCAAAACCAAAAACAGGCAATCTTCATCCGACTCGTCGAGTTGACCATGCAACTCGTCGAGTCCCTTTAGTCCTTTTCTTATTCAGACGCTTTTAAGCAAGACCAAGGCTCCAAATTGTAGATCTAGCCTCCTAGGGCATGGTTACCACGTAAAGTTGCAAACTTTACGTGCATGTAAGGCCTTAAATGCCAAAGCCAAGCTAAGGAAGAGGTTTAAGCCAAAGAGAAGGGCCAAAGCATGATAAATTCGATAACTTTATGACTATGAGGGCTTAAAGGAGTCCAAATCTGTAGTTACAACTTTAGATCATGCTCAATACCAGAAATGAACCACAAACATGCTAGAAATGGCTTTAAACCCTTGAATGAGGAGATCTAACACTAGAATGATCAAGGTAACAACTTGTTACCTTCAAATGGAAGCCAAAATGGAGTAGGTACTGGATCTACAAGTTTCTCCTTGATCCAAGCTCTTGAGTCTTCAAGTTCCTTGAATTAAAACCACCTTCCAAGCCTTTACACACACAATGGGGAGTAATACACGATTAGGGTTTTCTGAGGTCAAGGGAGGCGATAAGAGAGGCAGAGGGTGGCTAATGAGCCTTTAAATAGGGTGCAAAAACCTAGAAATTAGGGTTTCACATTCCAGCTCCAACTTGTCGAGTTGGGTCCTCCAACTCGTCGAGTAGGTCCCTTAAGTCACGCGACCATATCCATTTCTACACGACGAGTTGGGGCATCCAACTCGTCGAGTAGGCCTTTCAATCTGAATATAAAGCAGTAAAATTTATACCTAGGAGTCGGGGTGTTACAATGTGATATGTAAGCCTCTCGAATTCCAGGTCGGAGACAAAGTAATGTTGAAAGTCTCCCCTTGGAAGGGAATGATAGGGTTTAGAAAATGAGGCAATTTAAACTCGAGATACGTATGTCATTTCAAAATGGCTTGCGAGAATTGGTACTATTGCATATCGACTCAAACTACCTCAAGAGCTAAACAATGTGCATAATGTCCTTCATGTGTCTAACCTCGAGAAGTTTTGTACGATGACACTCTTGTTGTTCCTCTTGATGAGATCCAAGTCAATACCAAACTCCACTTCGTTGAGGAACCAGTGGAAATCATGGATCGAGAGATCAAACAACTAAAACTATAAAAATTATTCATTTTTAAATCATTAAAACATGTAGTTTTGTTCCAAATCCCATCATAGTAAAAATGTATCATAATCATCAAAGTACAATAGTAATCACCAATGCAGAAAATCATTAGGGGGAAATGTTGTGAAGTCAAGCCGGACCCTTCCCTTTGGAACTGGAAGTACCTAAAAATGTTCAAACTACATAATTGTAAGCACAAAATTTAGTGAGTTCCCCAAAATACCACATACCATACACATATTTCCATTGGCTACCCCCATGGTCTTGCATACAAGTGCAATGGGTTACCACCATGGTATTTTATACCATTGCCATAGGCTACCCCCATGGTCTTTCCTCTAGTTACCATGGCTACCCCATGGTCTTATGTATAACTGTCATGGGCTACCCTGTGGTATTTCATAAAAATGCCATGGGCTACCCCCAGGGTCTTCCATGCAAGTATCACAAAGACAACTAGCTTTCTACACAGTATAGTGAGAAGACTCACCTCAATCTGAAGACAGACAAATCTCACACTCGAGCGGCTGATACTAGAACTTCTCCTACTAATCATATACACAATAAAACCTTAATTAAAAATTAAGGTAATCATCCATACTTAAGGGTCTTGGTTCATAGATACTCTTATTGGGGTAAAAGACCAATCTTCTCGAAATGGTGCGTCTAAGCCATATCTAGGCTCAAAAAAAAGATTTGATAATTTTATTCTATTTTTTTTGGGTTTTTTTTGTATGACTGCTGATAAGCACAATCAACAGTTGTACGGACTGCTGTGGAGCACAATCAACAATCATATGGACTGCTGAGGAGCACAATCAACAGTCATATGGACTGTTGATTGCTCATCAGCAGTCCATATGACTGCTGATTGTGCACATTTGCAGTCCATATGACTGTTGATTGTGCTCATCAGCAGTCCATATGACTGCTGATTGTGCATATATGCAAATTTCGAAAATAATAATAAAAAAACTTGTCAAATCTTTTTTTTTTTGACCCAAGATATGGCTTAGACGCATCATTTGAAGAAGATTGATGTTTTTTATGTTGAAAAATGATAAGTTGATTATGAGTTCGCAAGTTCTCACAAATCTTTTGGTTCACACAATAACTCAGCCATATATATATATATATATATATATATATATATATATATATATATATATATATATATATATATATATAGATATATATATATATAGATATATTCGAAGTGCTTAAACTCCTAACATCGTTCATTGAAAGAATACCACACCACACCCATCTCAGCCATCCTAACATTCATTCACATATATAAAATGAAGGGTAAAAATGTCATTTCATCATTTAACACAAACATTCAGTGATTGAAAAACATGTTTTCATTTAGAGGGAGATTCATTCAAAGTCTCTCAATCATTCGATCATTTAGAGATTGCCAAACATGAATGATCTATTTGCTCACGGATCATTTTAGAATGATATTACCAATAACATATGATGTATAGGGTCACATCAATAACAAATAGACACAAATTGAATATTATAAGAATTTGATTATTGATAAATATTTATAACTTTTGCAATTAATTAAAAATTAATATTTTATAAGAATATTAATTTTCAATGTTAATATTATAATAATATCATAATGAATGGTTTATAATGTTGATGTGTATATTTTTTTTTTTGGACTTAAAAGATTTCGGTATAAAAAATATATATAACATGTGGTAATAAGAAAGAGTGTAAAACACTTTTACTTCCTCTTATTTCTAACCAAAACCGAGAATACGCCTAGGAGACAAACTTTTGTTGCTTTTTCTTATTTTGTTTTCATGTTAGGAGTTAATACATGTTTTAATTGAATTCGAATACACAAACAAGCGACAAACATAGGACAAGTTAAGCTCCACCTACCCAACATTTTAGATCTGATCTTAACAGAACTAGTAGTATGGATATCTATTAAACATAGTTGAAATCGAAGTATTGAATATTCAAACACATTGCTATAATCGGGAAAAAAGCATGATATACAAGTATCAAATAGTACATTGTTCTTGTCAACTACAGATCCGGTATATCCCAGTCTCATCTGCTTGCTTATTCACACACCTCACTCATGGCTATCATCAATAAAAAAAAACATTGTTTAAAATCGCGCTTTCCTCAAAAAGGTGTTATTAGCTACTTAAATGGTGTAGTATTGTTGCATTGTTTCAATATCAAGGCCTTTGAACTTCATCACTGATTCAACATGCCCTTTCAGTGTATGAAGCCCCTCTAACCTGTTCACAACAAATAAAGTTACTACTTTAGTATCAAGAGGATCAAGATCCTGAGTAGCCAATTTAAGAACAAGACTTACCTAGCCAACTCTGCTTGCCATTTCGAATCAAAAAACATTGATACTCCTAAACTTGGAATAGGAATCGTGAAATCCTTGTTGTCATCCCCTGCAGTATCAATATCATTTGCACTGTTTCCCTTGGTATTTTTTAATAGATTTGAATCAACTTTGGCTGAAATAGATTCATACACACAGATTACAAAAATAAAAGAAGAAAATAGTTACACACAATGACAAAATTCAATAAGAGCAAACTGAAATACCAGAATTTTCTCTCTTTGGGGGGAAGGGAAACATATGAAGCATTCTTCCAAATATTGTTCTACTGGTAGTATTGGTTTTGTGTTGTAATGTCAACACAAAATTAAGACTAACCACAACCTCAGCCATGGTAGGGCGTTGCTTCGGATTGTTGTGCAAACATCTCTCTGCAATTCGAACAAACTCCTTCAAACATTTTGGGGATATTTGATCCTTTATATTAATATCAACTATATGCTTTAAATTGCCTTCTTTGATACGACCTTGAGCCCATGTTGCCAAAGTTTCATCAAGACTCGTATCCACAGCACGCTTACAACACAACACTTCAAGCAAAACCACCCCTAAAGCATACACATCTGATTTCCTTGTTCGCCTTCCAGTTGAGTAATAATGAGGATCTAGATACCCAAAAGTCCCTCTTACAAGTGTCTTGACATATGTCAATGGCTGATTTGTTGGACCTATTTTGGACAACCCAAAGTCGGAAATTTTAGCTGCCCAACTTTCATGTAACAAAATATTGGACCTCTTGACATCACGATGTATAACCCCAACTTCGATCCCTGTGCCAGTGTGGAGGTAGTCTAACCCTCGGCTTGCACCTATGCAAATCCTGAGTCTCTGAAGCCAAGAAGGAGGAGTATCGAGTTTATGGAGGTGGTCTTCGAGTGTTCCATTTGGCATATATTCATAGATGAGGATCATCTCTTTTTCATAATTACAATAACCAAATAAAGATACAAGGTGAAAGTGTCGCAACTTGGAAAGAATCTCAACTTCCGCCCAGAACTCTGTAGCCCCTTGAGTGGACATGGAATCCAACCGTTTAATGGCAGAAACGACAACGGTTGATCCATATATAATGTTTCCTTTGTAAACTTTTCCAAAGCCACCATTACCAATTACTAATGATTCATCAAAATTATTGGTTGCTAAAAGAATCTCACGAAATTCAAACTGACGACAAGGTTGTGAGTACTCTATGTAGGATGAGGTGGAGGGTTGAGATTCCTTACCACCACCACCACCTCCTCCACCAGTCAACATAATTATTGATGATGAAGAAGAGGAAGTTAAAGGACAATTTGCAATAGTTCTTCCATTATAGATGAAATTGGAGGTTTATACCAACCTAGATGAAGTTAATTTTCCTGGAAAGAGATAAGGAGGCCATGATGACTCCGAAATTTCCATTATATATAATGTGGTTTAAGCAAGTGTTTGTTGACATGCAATTTATTTATGTCATTGACTTATTTATATACCGACTCATTGAAAATGTTAATATTACTCGTGAAAATGTTCATAAGAATAAGTGAAGTTTTTTTTTTCTCTAACAATATATTTTTCTTTCACAAGAAATAAATATCTAAAACCAAGATCATGAATTTTTTAGTGTTTCAAAGTTTAATTTCATTAAAATTGGATATTTAAAGTCACAAAAGGGTTGATTGTTAAAGTCAAAGTCGTGTGGCTTTTTACAAAAGAAATTTTAATTTCCATATAAATTGGCTAATAGTAAACAAAAGTTTGGTTGTGTTTAATCATTTATTATTATAATAATGTAATATAATATTTTATATGGTTTATTGGCTACAAGGTAAAATAACAATATTAGTAGCTTGAAACTTATTTTTAAAACATAGAGACTAGTTATTTTGAGTTAATATGATACGGGTATTTTAAAATGAAGCATTGAGAAAATGATTTTACATTTTAAAAATTTCATGATAAAGTTGATGACAAAGGAATTTTGAACTAATATAATGAAAATTGCAAATTATTTATTTAAAGTAAATTCTTTTTGGTGAAGGCATGGATATTAATTAAATTAACCCATACAAATGACCTTATTAAAAAAATAATTATTTTTTTTCGTTTTCTAAAAACTAACAACTTTCTCCGGAACACCTCATTTCAATGAAGTTACGTTCGTTCTAGAAGTGTCAGGTCGGTGAGCCTTGATGTAAAGTTGTTCTGAAATCTAATAACAATGTACATCCAGATTGACGTAGTCAACTGTCACACCCCCAAACCGGAACGGCGGAAACGTTCGGGGGCGAAGGACGTCATGTTTAGTATCACAAGACATGCATCATAATAATCAAAGTAACAAACAACCATTTCATTTAGAAAGAAAGTGTTTACAAAGTATGTGGTTCACATAAGATAGACTACAAAAGTAAATAACAAAACAAGACATGAAGCTACTATGATCCATTTTCTGAATCCCAGTGCGCGTACCTGTCTACTGGTTTTGCTGAGAATACAAGTTATTTTGAAAGCGTAGATGTAACACCCTATTTATTTTATTAGATAAATAAATTAATTAATGAACAAATGGTAGCCCTAAAATAAATAATTATATATCAAAGGATGGTCTCAAAGGGTTAATTGTCAGTTTTAGAAGTTTGGGGTTAAATGTGTAAGTTCCGGGATTTATTTTGTAAAGATTTTTAGAAGACAGGGGGTATTTGGTAAATTCTGGGCCACATATGAAAAGGATTGGTAGGGGGAGGGGCTGTTTTGTAAATCTCGGACTTAATTTGTAAAGGTTTTAGAGGCAGGGTTTAAATGATAAAATTGGGGCTAAATTTTAAAGAAAAGGTGAAAGGAGGGACCGATTCTGTTGTTATGGCAAACTTTTAATGGAAGCGGGTATTTAAGGAATCAGCAACCCTAACCCTAATAGGAGAGGCAATCGTCACCCCTTTCCTTGCCTCCGACGCCGCCACCTTCTTCTTCACCTCCGGCATCACACCACCACGGTCGAGACCGGTGACCACCGAAGCCACCTCCACGAAGTTGTTGCTGCCTCTATCTCCGGTCCAAAGCCACCCTCAAGGAACTCCCCAGCCGCCACCGAGACACCGAAGCCACCCTTATGTCATCCATCGCCGGTGACGCCGCCATGCCCGTTTTCCGACCAGTTTGCGGCTTCAAGTGACCACCAGACCTTTTTCTTTTCCAACCCATCGAGGCATCGGTCAGCCATCGTCATCAGCCGACGACATGTCGTCTCGTATGCCACCACCCATCGTTGTCGCGGTTCCCTTCGCCAGTAACGATGAAGACCACAACGGGTGTCCGTCCCTCCGTCGCAACCTCCTCTCCTCCTGTCTCATCGTCGTTTCTTCAGTGCTACCCCCAAGCCGCCGGTCGTCGCTGCTGTTACCACATTTAGCCACCCCGGTTGTCGATAGTGCTGTTGCTACCGCCGCGCTACCCTAATATGCCGCCACTAGCCACCGTGGAAGGTGGTTATGCGTGCTTTGGTGCGTGTTGTTTATTGCTACAGTGGATTGGGTGTTGTGTGGGGATTGTTTGATGGCCGAAAAATGGAAAAATACCCACCATGGCCGCCAGCCATGGTGGCTGCCACCACTGACCACCACCGGCCACCACAAGGTGGCTGTGTGTGTGTGTGTTTTTATTTCCCTTTTAGTGTGTTTATTTTTGGGTTGTAAATGTAATTTTAAAATGAAATAATAAAAGAAATTGAAAACCACCACCTTAGGGTGGTGGCTGCCGCCTCCTGCCGCCACCGGCCGCCGTGTCGGGTGGCGGTGTGCCTCGTTGATGTGGTGATTCGGTTTGAATATTTGGACAAGAGACTAAAACCCTAATAGGCTTAATGATATTCTAGTGGGCCTAATAGGCCCAATAAAGCCCTAATTGACCTAAAAGCCCAACAAATTGATAAATGGGCTAATATTTGGATTGGAAACCCTAATTAGGGTTTGGAAAACCCTAATGCCAATAAAACCCTAATTTGGGGAATTAACCAGGACACACGAGAATTATTTAATAACTTGAGATATTAAATAATAATCATTGGCAAAGATTAATCTAAGCAATATTGGACTTAATGGATTAAGTCCTTAGAGGATTAAGTCCTTAATGGGTTAAGTGAGAAACACTTAACCCTACTCGTCATTTTATGTGAAACCCTAATTTCACTTGGGTTTATTATTGGGCCTCTTTATTGGGCCTTGATGATTGGGTTATTAATGGGCCATCCAAAGTCAAGCAATTGGACTAGAATAATTTAATGGGCCTAGGGTAAGGCCCATGTAAGGGGTTTGTGCCCAATTTGGAAAATTGGGCCATAGATGGGCCATAGTTTGGGCCTTAATAATTATATGATGTTGGGCCTTAGAATAAGACCATGTATAGGCCTGGGTCCAATTTGGAAAATTGGGCCATGTGTTGGGCTTTGATTCCTAATTGACTTTGGGCCTATGGATTGGGCCTTGGGCTTGAATAAGCCAAGCTTGGGGTAATGTAGTAATTATCCTAAGAATGTACGTATGGTTATGTGTGGGACCCAATTATTAATTGGGTGATGTTTTGATATTGACAGATCGGGATTCTGTCATTCAGCAGCTGGGATTGTGTCTACGGGACTTCAGCAATGTGAGGTGAGTTACCTTCCAGTAGCGGTGGGTCTACGGCCACAATGTCGGCCCACCAGTAGGAGTTGTATGTTAGATGATTGTCTTTGTGATATTCATCTAGGGTTGCTACTACCTGATATGTTTATGTGCTAGCATGATATGTTATATGTGATAGTGGTAGTAGGGGGAGAATAGTCCCCAAGTTCGGTCGTTAGGACCGAAGGGTAGGTCGGGCACCCCAGAATTGCCTGACAGTATGTTTATGCTATGATATTATGTGGTAGTAGTAGGAGGTGAAATAGTCCTCGGATGTCGGTCGTAAGGACCGACGGGTAAGTCAAGCACCCCAGAATGGCTTGACCTGGGTAGTCAGGCACCCCCAGAATTGCCTGACAGTATATGAGTGTGTTATATTATTACGTGGTAGTGGTAGGGGTGAAATAGTCCCTGGTAGTCGGGAGAAATAGACCGACGGGTAAGTCAAGCACCCCAGAATGGCTTGACCTGGGTAAGCCAAGCACCCCAGAATGGCTTGACCTCGGTAGTCGGGCACCCCAAAATTGCCTGACAGTATGTTATTGTATGGTGTGTGGTGTGATGGGGGAACTCACTAAGCTTCGTGCTTACGGTTTTTAGTTTTGGTTTCAGGTACTTCATTTTCAAAGGAAAGGAGCCGGCTTGATCGCAGCGCATCACACTATGTTTTCCGTACATGAGATCTTTGGGATTACACTCTGATATTATTTTATGATAATATGTTTTGATTACTGACACTTTGGTTTGACACGAGATATTATTATGAATGTTTTTATACTGATGGTCTTATGTAATAAGTTAATTAAAACGAAATTTTTGGCCTTGAATTTCAGGATGTTACAGTAGATCAGCATTTAAGCTGGTGAGTTCATAAGTATTTTAGTGATGTAAAGTAAGTTGTAAGTTCTTTTAGAAAATTTCGTTTGTTCCTCCAGAAAATCCTATATTTCCTGATATGCTGAAAGATAAGTAAAAATGACTCTACAATCCTTTCTATGAGTACTAAATGGATACAAGTTATATAAAACCCAGGGTAAACAAATAATCGATTGTGTGAATCTACCCTAAGCCCACAACCAAACAAGGAACAGGAAATGAGGCGGAAAGCACACATCCCATTGTTTGTTAGATCATCGTTGTATATAACCCTGGTGTATTCACTTGGTACTCACAGAGTTAACTGTAATAGTTCCTTTATATTTGATGAAAACATTCTTTAAGAAAACCCTTATTTCTTTTAGTAAAATGGTAACCACAATAGCTCCTTCTATAATCACTTAGTTTATACTAGCTATATATGATCTAATATCGAACGGATAGTTAATTGTGTGAATCAGCCCTAAGCTCACAACCAAAGAAGGAACAGGAAGTAAGGCGAAAAGCACACATCCAACTATCTATCGGATATTAATTAGATATAACCCTGATGTATAAACTAAGGTATTATAGAATTAACCACTAAAGGTCCTTTAAGTTATATTGGTTTAATAAAATGGATTAAACCCTTTTACTGGTAAGTTTCTAGTTTTGTCTACCAAATTTTCTATTTGAAAAGTATGTTTTGTACTAGAAAACGATGTATTGAATTAGTATACTATGACCTGACCCATACCT